GAAAGAAACAGATGTACAGTTCTTGTAACAATGTTGGTATTATATGGATTATATATAGTGTGATACAAGCGTTACATCACAGCCACTGTGCGTGGAAACCGATCCGTGTGAACCTCATTGTGCACAGCCCTACAAAGTAACGCACATCTGTTGATGGAATCGTGGCGCTCGCGCTGTTGCAACAGAACAGAGCACTTCTGGTGTGACATACGAGTATACATACGTACACAGACATGAGGGAAAACAGATTAGTTTATAAACCTACTCGATCTTTACTTCACATCAACAGCCTTTACTAGTCCACTGCTGCGGACATAGACCTCTTCTTAGAAAGGAGGTTTTGGTCTACTATACCACGTGTCTGGCCTACGGGTTGGTGTAGAGTTGGTTTCAAATTTTCCTTCTCGTTGCAGTGCCGTTGTCCTGTGTGATCACCTCCCTTAGTCAGTTCTTAAGATAAACACGGGATGAATAGCGGCGGTGACACTCCGTATTCTTATTTGGTCACCACACCTTTACTTAAAACTTGTCAAATGTCAAAAAAAAATTACTGGTCAAATGTTCTCCACATTTATATTTGCTATTTGTATTTATATTTGCTTAGGTGGTAATATGTGGAAGCACGTTTACTACTAGACTAATCCAAAATAGTTGCACTGCGTTAAGAAGAAGCGGCACAGATTTGTGTGAATAACGATGCTGTCCTCTCATTTCAATAACGCGCATCCCGGCTGAGACAAAGTATGCCAAGGATCTCGACCTCGGCGTTAGAAAGTTGATATTTGACCGCGAGTCGCACCGCACCGGTGCGCCATGCCCCCGGGGCAGTATATATTGGGTTGTAATATTCGTCAAAAAAAGCGCAGGGCTTCAGTCGATGTACTGTTACATAACGTATGACATGTGCACTGACCCTTGCGCACGTACACGCTTCACCGCGTACATCAGCGGAACTAACTCATTACGGTCGCTTCGATAATGTGGTATGTGAAGAAGTATACAGAAGCAGTGGTTGTCAGCGGGTAGTGCGCCACTTGCCCACCGTACCGTGCTCTCGGGGCGTAAGGGGTGCGTAGAGCGAGACCAGAGCCGGCCGCGCGACCGGTGCGGGTACCGTTGCCACGTGACCCACTGGTGCGAGGAATGCGCTCCGACCACATACAAGCCGACACCGGCCGTTCCATGACTCACCTATGCGAGTGAACAGCGCCTCACTTTGCCGCACGCTCCCCGCGGTATAGGGTTAAGGTCATGGATCAGGCTCGCCACGCGCTGTGGCTCCCAGTCTCAAGTACAACTTGTAATGTGTGGTGCAGTGGCTGATATAAGCTGTACAAACTTCTTCAGTTGTTCTTGTTCTTCTTCTTCTGTTGTAGACAATACGTTTTTTTTATTATTTATTTTGTCTTCCATCAGAAGTCTTCCATCAGTCACGAATCACACATGATGACTGCGCAAACAAACTTGTGCTTGCAAGTTACGATAAACAATGTTTATGTTCATGTCATTGCTTATAACTATTTAGTAATACACACCACAACTAATTTTAATGGCGTAAGGTAACGGCAACGGCACAACTGTACCGTCGTAGATTCATCTGAAGATAAGTAACTTCGATCGCAAACCAGTGAGGAGCTTGTGAATGTTTCACGGATATCGAAAGGCTGCCGGACACGATAGCGCCAATTAACCTAATATTAGACAAAGTAGGTGAACAGAGATAATCACGGTGTTAACTTAATAACATAATAACTGTACCGGGTAGACGCACGTTCGCATGAGAGCGCTCGCAGCGACTGCGCTCGAGTAACACCATCAAATTAAGTGTGATGTCATTAATGGACATCAGTGAAACATTATAGTTACAAAACTGCATTTTTCGGAGAAAATTACACTAGTAGAAGAACATAAATTATAACTAGTGTGTTTACTATCTATTCAGACTATGCACGATGAATTATATAATTATACTCGTATATATAACAGATTGCTTGTTAAGATGTCGCATTAGTCTCTGCCTCGGTGGTGCAGTGGTAGCGTATTCGACTGCTGTGCTGTGTGCGAATGTTTGTATAATCTGCAAATATTTGTTTCGAAGTTGGAGTGTTTTCTATGTAAAATATGTATGTATTTACAAAAAAAGGATAAGTGTTTTATCAGTCAGATAGAATACCTACTTTTTTCTAGAAGTTTTATTTCAAGTACTAACCAATTTACGTGATAAAGTAGGTATGCCCACCAATCTGTTCACTTTCAAAATTTATTTAAGATACACTACATAATATGATTAAAGTAAAAAATAGTTTCGCAATTAAAAAATCAACAAGCGGAGTCGAGTGCACAACGTAGTCGACGCAATTTAATTTATATAAATGTAAAAACTTTTAATTAGCCGTCATATAGAATTTATAAAAATAAAAATAAAGCACGTGTCTGATCAAAGAGCGCGCGCCTCTGCGCCTTCTTGTTACACGTTTTCATCGTTTGTCACGAAATTGCAGTTCACGCATTTAGTTTGTTTCATACACTGCAGGAAAGTGGGAGGAAAGATACTACACATCAAACATCGTCGCTCACTCGCTTCAAGGTTGGGTATTCTGCCGCAGAATACAAAGCTCTCTCTCAACATGAGCTCGAGTGTCACGTCTGTTCCGAATGTAAGATACTAAAGATATGGATTTTCTACACCATAAAAAGTACGTCCGTGTGGTGACGGATTCAGAATACAGAGTGTCACCACCCCTATTCATCCCGTGGGTGTCGTAAGAGCCGACTAAGGGAAAAAGCTAAGCAGAATAACAGCACTGCAGAGAGAAGGAAAACTTGTCACAAAACCCTCTACCAACCCGTCTGGCCAGCGTGGTATAGTAGGCCAAAACCTCCTTTCTAAGGAGAGGCTTATGTCCAGCAGTGGACTATTAAAGGCTGTTGATGTGTGATGATGTGATGACACTATAAAAAAACTCTAATTTTTTCCAGCGTGGAGTGTTATGAAACGTGTGTGTGAAATGTGGGCGTTGTAGTTGCCCAACAGTCGACTATTATCACCACTATATTTCTTGTTTACAACTGTGTAAAAAAACTTTAACTTTTGATCAAGAGCTTGGTTATAAGTGCAACATTGATAGTAGCAAGTGATCCACATTGCAGACCGTTGTGTGAAAAGAAATATGTAAATCAACAACGCTCTGAAAGACGAAGGCGAGGAGAATTATTAATCTTACATTAGCATATTACCGTGAACAGTTCTATCTCATTGGGTTTAGATTACATAATCAAACTCCATGGAGGGTTAGGATTTGATACAGTTACCAACAATTATATCTACTACTACGTAAAATCGCTGTTTAGTTTCTACTATTCTTAAACCACAGGCCAACAAAATTTAACAAATTTTCTTTCCCAGAAACCAGAGTATACTTTCCCGAAGAATGTTGGAGCGCTGAATCAAGATTCGGCCGCAGAATTGCTCTATCACGTCCTGTTTTTTGAGATATTCTAATCTAAGTGTGCAAATAACGCCATTTCTGCAGATTTTTGAGGTTATCTAACCCTTCAAATTTTATGATAGAGCGATTCTGCTGCCGGATTTTGATTCAGCACACCAAAATCTTACTAAAAAGAATACTCTGGTTTCTGGGTAAAAATTTTGTTGGCCTGTGTATCGATCGATCGGTCTGGCCGATCTCAGGTGTTGCACTTACGTATCAATAATTTTGTATTTATCTACTTATTGAAACGGCCAGATTCAATATTTGCAAGCTTGATTAACGTAATTGGTGTTATAAACAGTTGTCCAAAATAGCTCAGTGACAACGGCAGTGAGTGCGCTTGCGCCGGCGCGCTCGGCCGCTCAACGTCGTCTTTATGGACGGCTCTCACTTTCCCACGGTGTGCGGAACGTATCCGCTAAACACGTCCTATGACTCTTCCGCTTCACACAAGCCCATAGTACCGGATTAACACCCATTACCGCACAAATCCGCTACGTTAATAACTCTTGAGAACATTTACATATTTTATTTGGATAGGCATCAAAGGATTGAAAATAGAATAACATCACTATCCCTCAGCGCAATGTCACTTAATCCATTTTATTAACAGCTGTCTTTAAATTACCTTCATTGGGTGTGTCAAATATAAGTGTAACGCTCTCTGTTAGACGGGTCGCTCATTTGCACAATATAAAGTACGTATAGGTATGTCCTCCTTACGTAGGTACTTCATTTACAAGATACATATACTCATAAATCTTTCTGTGAGGGAAGATCGCTTTTCACCGGTTAAGTAGATATAACGGGGACCAAGCTCGGTTCGTACATACATATGTACGTACCTTAAACCGTTCTCACGAAACTGTAGATCGACATTAGTCACATAAATTCCGTTCTTGCAGTTTCAAAGTACGGAAGTCCTGAGAGAACGATCGTTTAAAATAAGTGTACTGATCTGACGGTACGATTTATATTTTTTACTCTTGTAGTGCAAAGTTCATAGCGGCGATGCGGCGAGGCGCCGCCGGCGCCAACATTCCGAAGCCAGTTTTCCTCTTATAATCTGGTTCTTGCCTGTTGACCCACTGACAGTTGAGTTCTTTTCATTTCACAAAAAGTATACCCCGATACATCACATCATTTGAAAGTGTGTTTCTAGTCAATCTATAGCGAGGTCGGTAAGTCACCTAGGTAAAGCGTTATAAACTAGCACACGGGCAGCGGGTGAAAGAGATGCTGGCCGAGTTTAAATTGCAGGGTACAGAAGACCGAGCTACCGTCAACTTTAATGCATATACCCGTATACTTATATTTAAAAATAGTTAACTTTGATGAAGTAATTTAAAATAACATAATGAGAATAGAGGTTGTAGCTGGCCCATTAGAGTAACATTGCTCGCTCGAACAGCAGTTAACCCAGATACCGGTGCCTTCAGCTCTGATCAATATATTGGAGATGAAAGTGGTACATAGTAAGTAAGAGTGGTTGAGGGATGGTGAACTCACCGATGAGCATCAGCAGCGCGAGCGCGTGCGCGGGTCGCATCGCGACGGTGGTGGGCACTGTCTGGGGAACAGGTACAGTACAGCAGCTACAGCAGCGACCGGCGAGCTGCGAACGATATTGCGAATGTGGCGCGTGAGCGGTAGTACGGTGCGCCTAGCGGTCGGGCCGATACTGAACGCGCGCGCCTCCTAGACGTGGTTTTGGTGCGCGAGAGCTTGTGCAACAGTGCCCTCCCGCGCGCACCCTCTCACCACATCACACACGTACGGTGCACATGCTACGGGAGGCTCCATTCTTCGCAAAGAAGAACTGTGTAGCACTTACAGCTCAGCTATTGTTATCATAATCGTCAACTTTGTTACGGCACCCAAGACCTTACTTTCTGGTAGAAAGGGAGGCAAACGAATAGATGATGTAAATACAACGTTAATCAAGAAGATCACAAATTATAATCACAGACTACATTTATTGGACAAACTCACGTGGCTCAGGTTGGAGTCTTACAATATGCTGTCGTAAACAAAAAAATAAACAAAATCAGCAGTAACAAACAATACACTCTTAGAAATTATTATTCGGAGACTCTTCCTCTAAATTAAACCCTTTCCACCTTCCTACTTAACGAATGTAGATCTCACTGTTGTTAATAGAAACATAATGTCATATTGCCATGCAGTAATGGGTAAATTTTGGGCTTGTTCGATGAAGTGTCCTGGGTGCACACGCTGGTTTGATAGGCATAATGGCGGGCTGAGATTGTATGATGTTTGACTACTGGTGTGATGTTGATACTCTTAATGTTGATAAAATTATTTATCATATTTGTCACTTTTTGATTTGACTTTTATAAAGGAAATTAAAGAAACTATCTCATCAACACCACACAATATAAGTCTAACACAATTTCCAAAAATTTCAAACGCGACATAGACTCAGAGCTAGTTTCAAAGCTTTATGAAATCATATCACATCAACAAACTTTAATAGTAAACTGCTGGACATAGGCCTCTCTTTATAAAGGAAGTTTCGGCCTACTAATTACGAAATACCAATCACTGAAAACCTACTTAGGTGTTCTTTTGGTATTTTGCACATAAAAAATGTTTTATACATATTTTTATTTAAAAATATATCGAAGCTATATTTGGTTTTCTATGTTTAGGTCATCTAAATATTGAAACTATGTTGTTATACATTATGTCAATGTGGTTTTATATACATTTATCTATGAACTTATTAAGCAGTCACTAAAAATAGATGGCGCCTGAACAAAGTTATTTAGCAAATTACGCTGACGCGACAATAACATCAAATCTATTTATCACCGATTACAAAATGCATTTCAAAATATGTTCTTAAAGTAACAATAACTTTAAAAAAATTCTTAATTCTATACTTATTTGTTTTACCCATAATATCTTCTGAATAATACATTAGTATGGGGTTCTTGAAGAAGAGTTTAACAGGGTACGATGGCGTGCACTGGACATCCTGACTTTACACATATCCACACCCTAAAGTGCCCGACCGACGCTTCTCTACCAAGCGGGTGTAGACTAATACCAATATTTTAAGTTTAAGTCAACAATATAAGTTCAAGTATAAGTAACAAAGTCGAGTAGAGAAAAACCCAAATCATGACACAAAAATAACTTGAGTTGTAAACTATATTTTTGCATTTAATGTTTCTAGTGACAATAATTTATTTAATAGCTTAAAAAAGAAGCCTAAAATATTGTAATTTCGTAAAATTTCAAATAGGTACAGATTAAAAACCAGAATTTGTAACTTAGTAAATAAACAGAAAATGTATCGATATGGTTTTTTTTACAATTTTATCGGTACCTTCAAAATCTAGTCCTTGGTATAGTATACTTTGAGACTTTCAGTGAAATATTACATGAATAACAGTACTCTTTCTGACAATCGTCTCTGTAGCCGTAATAAATTTAAAAAGGCCTAAAATATATTGGAAGATTTCTTGTGACGTTTCAATTTAAAAGCCTTAAGTAGAGCCTTAACCCGAAGAGAACCAGAAGTGAAAGTTACTGTTGCCTGATTGGATCAACTAACTTGGACGTTTCAACTGACCAATGGTAACGAGTTGTGGGCACGTTCTATTGCAAATGAAAACATAAGCAGTTGTATGATTTGTCAAGTTACCGGAAGTCAGACGAACTAGGTGTGCGAAACAACGAAATACTCGAATTGAAATGTTGTGACCTTTATTATTATTTAGAAAGTTTTACAATTTAGCTGTAAGTGCTCAAAGTGATCATAACATGTATCAAATATGTTTTCTACTTCTGATATTTGGAACCAAAGGTAAAAACAGTGCAATTATCTGCTTTGTGGTGTAGAGAAAACTTTCTTCAAGTTGTGTGTGTGGTGTACAACATTCTGGTGTATTCTTGCAGACTCTCTGTCGCAGGACGAAGAGGGGCCATATCGTGGCAAATTCATCGGGAAACTCAACTCTTATCACCATCAGGTAGGTTCCCACTACACTACATACACATTTAATCATCTTTAAAATAATTCATAATCAATATAATTTAAAGCTCATAATTTAAAGTTTGAACTAAGGTAGCAAGTTGACATTTTAAATTACTAATTGGACAAACTTAAAACCAGTCAACATCATAACCATAACCCCATGTAATCCTGTAGTTCTATATATTATTCAGCATTGCTTTACATTTATTCACTTACTAGAATTTAAATTTATGTGATGGCTGTATGGAAAGGTACCTAAACATAAAACAAATAAGAAAAAAACAACCACCAAGATCTTATTAACTATATAAGAATTTCAAGAAACTTACATTGTTTAAAAATAATCACTACTTTTTTCTTATTTTATTAAAAATGAGCTGAATAATCCTTTATCCAAAATCTGACTTATGCTTAAATATTTAAAAACTGTTCTTAACTTTCCAGGTATCAGGTGATGTGTATGCGGTTGATGAGTGGACATTATTGCTTGTGAACTTCAACTATGATGGAACGGGAGATGACACTTTCTTTTGGGCTGGAGATTCTGGCCGGCCGGGACCACAAGGCTTCATTGTACAAAATGAACATGGGAAGTCAGTATAACTAATTTACTGTTATCTAATAATCACACCTGCTGTTTCTCCAGCTTCTTTGATCTAGAAGGTTTATAGAGATATTATGATTATTATTCAGGTTTTTAATAACATTACCTCACTTTCTTGTGATAAAAAAGCTCTTTTACACAAAATACTCTATTTTATTATTACCAAAACTTCTAACATCATACCACATTCAGATCACCATATTGTATACCAATTGGGGTATTTGAATATTACTTAAATTCAAGGCTCACTCTCAGAGGGCCTATGGCTTTGTTTCAATTGAAATCGATCATTGAGGGAAGAAGTGTGTGTAATATAAAGTGTGCTATTAAAAGCTATTGTTATTATTTATGTACAGAACAAATATTTTGGAACGTTACTACAATGCTGAAGTGATGCTAACTCTCCCAGAAGGCAAGCGCATCTCACGGATCAAGTGGTTGTCAATCTATGATATTGGCTCACAAAATGCATTTGCTGATGTGTATATACCAGATGAGTTTGAAGCCCCTTCAGCAAGGAGTGTTGGGCCCCTGGCCGGGTCAGGCTCTGTGTCCAGCAAGCCTGTGCAGTTCCTGGATGCTAGTACACTACTGTGAGTTGAGGTCTCCTGCACACATATATTGATCTAAGAATTGTTAAATATCTTAAATTCGTTAGGGGCCATTCAATAATTACGTAAGGATGATTTTGAAGATTTTTGACCTCCCTACCCCCATGTTCCTTACATAAGAATTCTCGAACCCCACCCCTCCCTCTTCTCACTTAAGCTTCAATCTCGTCGTTCTGAGTAATAAAACTTTGTAAGAAAACGATCAGTTACACTTAAACCCACAGTTTGACGTAATAAAGATTTTTATTTTTTAGATAATTTAGGTTATACTTTATCATTACTGTCAGATATAGATTATCTTTATATTATTATTAGATAAATATCTGGTCTGGCTAGTACGCGCGACTTCGTTCGCGTAAAATTTGAAAAGCGCTGCCTTAGCGATACGCGACACCAGTCCATGAGGTATCAGATTTGATTCCCGAACCAGGCAAAATTTATAGGGTTTTTCTGAGAGCAAAAATAGAGTAAGTTGTTCCTTATTTAGACAGCTACCTGGTAATAAAATATTATCAAAATCGGTGCAGCTATTTAAAAGATTAGCCGTAACATACAGACAGACAAAATATATTTAAACTGCTTTTTCGTCATAGGTATCGTGCAAATAACCGTGTAAGCATGAAAAAAATGTATTATTTTGACACTACACAGAAACTTCAATTTTACTTATTTGTAAAGATTTTAAAATGTTAGTACCTAAAGAATAAAAAATTGTAAAATAGGATGTAAATCGAAGTGCACATTATGGAATGAAGAAAATCGTAAGAATGGGTTTTACCCCTCCCCCTCCCCCGCTAAGATAAGGGTATAGATTTTGTTAACCTGGGGACTCTTACGTAATTAATGAATGGACCCTTACACAATTACAATTACTTATGTTGACTGGACCTTGTATGAAATTAGATATTAAGTGTTATCAACTTCGACATTTATTTATTTACCTTAGGTACACGCAACAGAACTTTGAACAATAAGGTTACAATATAGGTATTATAAAACTGCTGGTGTTTTAAGGTGCCGGGTAAATCCGGTGATAGATGGGGCAACACATGCGACTGCGACAGCGCCTGGGAATTGCGACCCAGGAGTAGGTTTAGGAAGTACTCCTTGCGACGCGTCATCGCTCACCTCCACTGGCTGCTGTATTATCTAACTAACCTATTGTAATTTAAATTTTAGGAAAAAAATTGGGGTGTTTTTCATACCGTAGGTGCTCATTTCTAAACATGTTATTAATTTTCATATTAATATTTTTTTTCGGTTGATGTAGGTTATGCGGATCTTTCGGAATCCTCATAATAACGACAAAAGCTGTGAAACTTAGTATTTGTTCCTACTAAGACCTAGGTACTTCACCTAGGTCTTAGTAGGAACAAATGAAGTATTAAACACTAGAATCCGAAAGCTAAATATAAATGCACATTTGATTCTTGCTGCTAGCGAGCGGCTTTTTACCGAATATACATCTACATATTCATATTGTGAATATTTGATTTGACCACTCGACTACGCTCATTAATGTTACGTAGCTTTCGCCAGACCTGGCTTTGCCGAGCGTATACGTGCGTCCAACACAAGTGGTCTTCGGTAATATTAAAAAGGCTTTATCTAACATTTCCTGTGCTAATAACATTGCAGTATTCCGGAGTTCCGTTATGATGGGACAGGTGAAGAAGTTTACTTCTGGACCGGAGTAGGACCGCAACCATCATCGAGGGGCATGAAGATACCGGATGATTATGGATAGTAAGTATTAAAAACTGCGTCAGGGAACAGATAAATCTGAATAACTATAAAAAAAATATTGTGTAAAAGTTCAAAACGCTCATGATATGAATGTGTGTAGCCTGGAGCCACTCCGGGCGTACAAGGGCGAAGACGTACGGTTGGAGTTGCCGGGCGGCACCACGGTGTTCGACATCAAGTGGGTGTCGGTGTGGGACCAGCGCACGCGCACCAGCCTCGCCAGCGTGCTCGTGCCCGACGCGCTCAACGTGCCGCCCGCCGACACGAAACACCACGACTATGAGTGAGTACACCTCAACGAGGTAGCAGTTTTATCGTACTTTTACTTTATTTATACTTTTACCCACAAAACCCACATTTTGTAAAAAGACGGACTTAATGCCTAGGGAGTTCTCTACCAGTCACCCTTAGGTCTTATATAAATCAGGTTACATATGTTAAAAATTCATGTATTTTTAATATATGTAACCTTACAAGATTTCTATTTTTCAATATAGATATATATATATTAAATATATATATATTTAAAACAAATTTAAACATGATATACACATACATACTAGAGATGTGTCGGTCTGGAATATTGTCAAACCAAGTTGAATCGGTATGAATTGATTGGTACTTTGTTGAGAGCTAAGGGCAATACAACAAACTACGCAGTCAAGTAACACGATTACCAAGCTCCCTTTTTTCTCATTTGATGGATATAACAAAAAAATATCCGTTAGATAAGAACGGTTAGTAAATCGGTTTATGTATTAAATGATTACTAGGCTGACCATAATACGCTCGATAGCCTGATTGCGGCTATCGTGCGGAGCGAGAGTGCGTGGAACTCTGCCGTCTCCTTCTGCGAGCAAGTTATGCTCGCGAAGGAGACGGCGGAGCGGGACCGGGACTCTCCCGGCCCGCCAGGCCCGGGAACGGGCCAGGTACCGCAGGCGACTCAGGCGCCGGAGGTCGCAGAACGACCTCCGTCCTCCATAAGCGCAGGCCTGGGGGTGACAGGTGATGCCATCTGTCACCCTAGCAGAAGCAGGCCGGGGTGGCGGCGAGCGCGTTGCGAAGCGCGCTCGCTTCCAGGGAGCACAGGGAACATGGGGTTCCCACACGGGGAGGGGTCGTCTACTCGTCTGTAGATGACCCGAGGTATGTCGGGGCACCAGGGACTTCCTTTCTAGGGTATACCTGGTTCCCCGGCTATTAGTACCCGGCGACGGCGTGCGGTTTTAGTCGGTTCGAGTCCGACATGCCACCGACAGGTGGTATCCGAGGGGATTTCCGCACGGAAAAAAAAAAAAGGCTGACCATAATAATATGGCTTGTGCTTGTAGGTAAATTGATAAATATACATTCACTGCCGTGACGCATCGACTTCAGAACCATTTGGTAGATAAATCAGTTTTGTTCGATTGATAAAGCAGGAGCCGCGAGCGCGACAGAACGACGCTAAATTTAGTACTTCTTAGCCACAAGGCTCTGTCAGACAACCAATTAAAAGAATAAAATTATTAAATATTTCAATGCGGCTAAATCTCCAATCATGACGTCAGGAGCCAACCCTGGGCCCAGCAACCAGGATATGGTGAACTTAAGTTAGTATAGACCATCATAATTCCATGCGTCTATAAATTTTGTGTGTGAATGGTTGACCATGAACATTTCAATTATCTGGGTCCGATCCGGTCAAAAAATCGTGAACAACACCCGGCGGTCGTTCACGGGCTCTTGACAACTGCCATGTCTCGAGATTGATAAACTTCTATGTTGTTTATTGGAGTGTGATATATAGATCATACGAGTATATTGCGTCGGCAGGTCGAAGCTGCCGCACTGCAAGCAACTGCACCGCGACTACCAGGTCTCGTGGGAGGTGTTCGGCAACCAAATCACCTTCGAACTAGCTGCACATGTAAGGAATACCATTTAACCTTTCTTACCGTCGATCTATTTTTAACAATTTTGAAATTAAATCTTCTGATGAGTTAGTACTTACAGCTTTATTTGTCATGAGATGTAATATTCTTTTATTTAATTATTTTTGCACAAAAAACAATTCACTGTACATTGGCGGAATAGAGGGCGGCGAGGGCGTGCAGCTGACGGCGCTGACGAATCGTGAGCCAGTTCAATCTGAGACGAGAGGAGGAAATATGATCGCATTTGCGAAGGTTATTCAGAAGGCGGTCTTATTTTTTGATCTGTTTTCAGGTCATAGTAGCATACATCACTATAATCCAAGATAGGGACTATAAGGGTCTGTACTAGTGATGTGCCGGATATCCGTATCCGTATCCGTATCCGCGGATATCCAAGGGAGAAGAGAGATCCGTAACCGTATCCGTGACTTTTTTGGCGGATCTTTCAATACATATTACATAGATGAAATTCTATATAGGTGATTTTGTATCCACTGTAAAAATCTTAGGTATGTGTTTGTAACACTATAAACAGCAACTTTTTTCTGGCCAACGTCAAAATGAAAAAAAATTGGTTCTCCATTCAAATAACCAATCAAATGTTGTTAGATTGTATGGAGAAACAATTTTTTTTTCTTTCGTTTTCTGTGTTAGTCCAGAAGAAAGGTTGTTGTTTATAATTTTACTAATATGCACTTCAGAGGTTTTCAGTAAATTTAAAATAACCCTGAATAATGATTATTAGGTAGCTATGAAAAACTATTGAATTCTGTTCAGATTACTTTTTATTTCTTAAAACAAATATTTGGCACCTTTGTATTGCAATCATTTATCGTACTACACTAAATCAACTAGGCAGGTCGTAGGTACTGAAAGAGCTATCTTTATAATGAGATCAATCAAACATCTTTGTATTAGCTTATTAAAATAATGAAATATTTAAATATCAACGGCAAAGCGTCAAGTGGCGACAACTATCAAGGTCACGGGCTCCGATTGAGTAAGAAACTTAAGATCCGTATCCGTATCCGTATCCGCGGATCTTGACACCAAATATCCGTATTCGGATCCGTATCCGCGGATATACTTTGTTAACGATCCGGCACATCACTAGTCTGTACTAGCATCGCTTGTATCGGAAAGAAGGAAGTTTTTAAGAAGATAGAAGGCCCGTAGCGTACCTGTGACTCTGGCCGGTGACCTGGGTTTGCCAGCTGAGCTCGGAGTCCCTGAACGAGGTAGATACTGAACGCGGAAAAAAGATTCCGAATAGCGTGTCGGCTCGCATGAAGGTTCACCGGTTTACACGGGGTGGCCTCTTTTAGTTCCATCGGAGAAGATCGTCGTAACCTCAAAACGAGAAGTGATATTTAACGTTTCGTTTTCAGATATCCGAGGACGAATACATGGCGTTCGGCATCTCGGGCAGCGAGACGAGCTCGTCCATGCTGGGCGCGGACGTGGCCGTGGCGCAGTACGACGGCGCGCTGCAGCGTGGGCTCGCCACCGACTACAACATCACCGCGCTCGCGCCGGTACGGGCCCCTCCGCCCCCCTCCCCCCCACCGGCGCGACGCGGACGCTCACCAGCTCCTTGCGTGTGTTGCAGTGCGTGCAGGTGCTGGGCGCGTGGCGCGGCGTGTGTCGCGACGACCGCCTGGGCGCGCTCGACTCCAACCAGGTGTTCACCGCGCGCCGGGACGACGGGCTCACCGTCGTGTCCTACCGCAGGAACCTGCAGCCCAGTGAGTCTCATATCATACGCGACGAGCGTGCGAGACTAGCTCACTCGATGTGTTGTCGAGATTTCAGTGTGCGTTTACCGACGACAAACGTTTAAACGCGTCCATCCGCATTACCGTGTTGCAGTGGAACCGATCGACCGTGAATGGGTGGTGGGGCGGCCCATGTACGTGGTGTGGGCGGTGGGTCGGCTAGACCACGAACGCGAGCCCGCCTTCCACCGCCTCTACCCCAAGCGGGACGTCCGGCTCGACCTCGCCAAGGCCGACGACACCGGCGACTGCGTGCGCTTCTCCGTGTAACTATGCTTATATTGTTGTTGTCGACGAAACAATTGCCGACACTGCTTACTGAGAGGCCGTGGTACACATGGTACACACCGCTCGAGCCGCCCATACGTGGCACGGCTCTGCCACGGTACAATCATCTCATCGTACATCGTCTAAGCGATACACTCATGCTTATTGTATATTAACCGTTCTAGAATATCGATCGAATTCATCTTTTTATTAAAAAAAAAGTAGAAAAAGAAGGAAGATGCCGTTAAGTTATGTAAAGTAAGTCAACTAATATAAACCTGTAATTGGCTTTCCGTTATCTATTGTCATGCCTGAATTGGTGACTCTTAAATGTTTGGTTTTCCTTAAATAAAAAAGTAGCAATGAACGATTGCAGTTTAGTTAGTGAGTGCAAGTGCAGTACCGGTGGGTCTGTGTGTTGCAGAGGCAACAGACCCGGCCTGACGTCGTGGGATGTGGCGGAGCTGTTCGACCCGGCGCTGCGCGTCTTTCAGTTCCGCCTGGGGCCCTCCGGGGGCCCGCGGGGCCTCGCCGGCCGTGGGCCCGCCGCCGCCCCCGCGCTGGCCTGGTACGTCAACGGGCAACTCGCGCCCGACCTGCAACTGCGCCGGGGACTCACCTACAGCTTTAAGGTCCGTCGACAGCGGCCGCCACGGCTACCGGCTTCCTCTATTTTTTGGATTAAAATTGTCATCGACTATTGCATCACCAGGTGTTCGGTGGCAACGATCCTCATTCGGCAAACGAGTACCACCCGTTGATAGTGACTGCGGAGCCTGTCGGTGGGCTCGAACGCCTCGGTGAAACCGCGCAAAGAGCCGCGCGCGTACTTGCCGGCGTGCACTATACGCGCCGTGGTCGCCTTACGCCCACAGCCGGTCAGTACAGTACACATCAGTGCACTACAGTACACACGGTAGTGCAGGACACACTAATGCACTATACACTAGTGTACCACACTATGGTACACACTAAACACACCGCCGGTCCATACCGCCGGTCAGTATAGTACACACTAATGCACTACGCTACAGTACACACTACACACACTGTATACACTAGTGCACTACAGTATACACTACACGCACTGTATACACTAGTGCACTACAGTACACACTACACACACTGCACACGCCGGCCAGTAGACAGTCAGCAGTAGTATCTAACGAGGTCCGGGTGTCGGTCGGCAGCGGGCGGGCTGTGCGTGGCGCGGCACGCGGCGGGCGCGGACCGACGGCGCGACGCGGACTACGCCACGTTCCGCGCGTTCAACCGCTCGCTGGACTGGCGCTGCGCCGCGGAGCCGCCCGCCGACCTGCGAGTGGCGCCCAACACCACGTGGCCCGACATCGTCTACTACCACTCCTTCACGCACGCGGGTGAGTCGCACTACTCACACACACGATATCGTCTACGCCTACGTGTATTTTCATTCGAGTAAATCGTTTACTTAAAAACTAATTCTGGCTGTCCGCCCCCATCAGGCGTGTTGACCCTCATATATTATGCCTTGCCATGCTCTGACGTACTGTTGTGAACATAATTGCTAAAAAAAACCGTGAATATTTTTATTTGCTTTGTTTATGTTTGTAATTTTTTTGTATGTTTGTACGTTGATTTCCTACTTTTAAAACTCCGATTTACTGAGAACTACTTCAGATTATTACAGATATTATTGGCCACTTTCATAGACTAAGTTTTCCTAGTCCTAGTAGTCCGGAGTTGTTACCGTAAGCGTAAAAATATATAAAATATTTCTAGGCTCAGTACGTTTGTTTGCGAGTGTACCTGCGCGACATTCGGTTGGCAGCCAGCTTCATCGACTCAGAGTTATGTGGCGCGTGCGATTCTTCTTCCACTTACTCGCATTCTTTGATAAACAAAAAACTTTTTTAGTTGTTTCCTGGACATTTAATCCTCGAGTGTGTCGTTCCAGGCATGGGCGGACGCATCTACGTGGTGGACCGCCACAAGCGCAACATCGGCCGGACGCGCCCCTCCGCCGCGCCCCCCTCGCCCCGCGCCGCCGCCGCCCCCGCCGCCCTCGCCGCCCTCCTCGCGCTGCTCCTTTACTTGTAAAGCGATCTCTCCTTTCAACGATTACGTTACTATTTTTATTATTATTTTTAATGATATTTACTATAATTTTATAACATATTTACTATAATTAATCGTTAAAAAAATCAATCGACTTCGACTCGTCCGACCGTCGAGCCGGTTTTTAAACTCGCTCGGCTACTTAGCCGACCGGCGAGGCATCGTTATGCGGGAGCGCCTCGGCGACACGAGCCGACGGAAAGAGTCTGGCGCTTTCTATTCGTTGAAGTCGGGGAGCGACGATAACGCCGATGTAAATAAAGCGCTCGTTATACATGAATTAACTAGTTTTATTTATAACAAAACGGATATATTACATAGCGATATTGATTAAGATCGTTCGACGACATCGATAAATAGTATTTTTTTCACACGAACTTTGTAATGATTGTCTGTTTATATTGGTGTACATTTATAGGATACCATAAAGCGTAAAATCACAATGGCATGATAAATAAAACGTATAAAAAACTTTGGGGGTATAATTCGCCTCCCTCACAATACTAAAACTGGACTCTCGGCTGGATCGATAATAAATAATAATGAATGATAATAGAGCATAGGTATGTTAGCCGATTATTTTTGGAGACTCAGAAGAAACATATCAAAAACAAACATTCACAAAATCATATGTATTTATGTGCATTAAGCAAATTTTTTGTTCTTTGCAAATAGAACGGGGGACAAACGAGCGAAAGGAGCTCAACTGAAGCTTTCGTACTTTATACGTGTGATGCGATGTCGGTACGTTCAAAATTTAAACTAAATCTAAAGTCAAAGTGGAAAAGTCGGTAACGAGTATGTACGACATAGAAAGCGTGCGGGGTGGGCTCCTGGGCCGGGGCGGCTAGGGCCGGTGCATGTCGAGGAAGGCGCGCAGCGTGGCGGGCAGCGCGTGCGCGGGCGCGGGGCGGCGCGCGGCCAGCAGCGCGCGCGCGGCCAGGCACGCCAGCGACACGTGCCGCACCACGCGCACGCGCGAGTCGCGGTTCAGCGGCACCAGCTCCGCCGGCGAGTCGCCGAACTTGTTGGGCTGGTCCAGGTGCGCGCCGCCCGCCAGCAGCACCTCCACCAGCTCCGTGCTGAAGTTGTACGGGATGGCGGCCACGTGCAGCGGCGTCGAGCGCGCCTCGTTGCGCACGCGCACGTCCGCGCCGCACTCCAGCAGCAGCGACACCACCGCCACGCTCGGGAAGATGGGCTGCGGAGCGATAGGCTTCGATGTTACGGGGTAAACTGTAACCGCGACTGGCGACAGAGCTATTCTCTAGGGAAACGACTCGCGTGCGACGCTGCCGCGGAGTCGAATTCCGTACTAGTAAGATATTCGACGCTGCGGCAGCGGTGCACGCGAAGCTATTTTACGAGACGGGACAGAACTTAGAATTACGGACGGGAATAGAACACTGTCGATAAGTCTCGTAACTACACGCACTCACCGACACCGGAGACCGGTCTCGGGAGATCGCACCGCTCGAGTCGAATCGTCGTAGTAAAGAGGTGTATAGGCTCACCGTTACGTCCATTTCGTCGGCGAAGTACGTGGAACGAATGACGTTGAGGCACGACACGCACAGGTGCAGCAGCGTGTCGCCCGTGTGCGCGCTCCGCACGTCGGCACGCACGAGCGCGCGCACGGCCGCCGCGCTCGCGCGCCGCTCCGCCTCCGACCGCGCCGTCTGCTGCAGCAGGTACATCAGGTGCGTCACGCAGCGCAGCGCGCGGTCGAACGTGTCCGCCTGCGCCTTGTGCACCGGCCGCACCTCCAGCGCGCGCCGGCAGCCTGCAACACGCCGCCGGTTACACTACTCTACGCTACACGCGGATCGTCGCTCCTGGCGGCGTCGCCGACCTACCCGGCAGGTCGTCGGCCAGCAGGCGGAAGACGCGCAACACGTCCTGATGCGCGGGCAGCCCGCGACCGCGCTCGAGGCGGCCGCCGCGCGCGTCCAGCATGAGCCGAGTGAGCGCGCACGCCGTGTGGCACGTGTCCGTGGCGAGCAGCGAATCCTTCTCGATGCGGATCTGCAGCGCCCACGTCCACAGCTCGATGCAGCGCTGGTAACGGAAGGCGTCGGCGTAGGACGCGCCGCGGTACATGAGGCGGAACACGGTGTCCTTGTGCTCGACGCCGAGCACGCGCGCCACCACGAGCAGCGACTGCGTGCGCAGCGAGTCCATGTCGGTGGCGGCCTGCTCCAGCTCGGCGAGCGAGCGCCACTCGCGCGCGTGGCCCAGCGCGCGGTGCGGCGCGCGCACGGGGCGCTTGGGGATGTAGGCGCCGCAGCCGTGGCGGATGGCCGTGGCGCGCCGCCACGCCGCCAGCGCCGCCGTCACGTCGTTGAACTCGTCCAGCTGCGTGGAGCCCAGCAGCTCGTACGCGTCCGCCATGCGCGCCGGCTCGTAGCGCACGCGCCCCGCGAGAAGGCTCACGATCTACGGAATTCGGCTCCGTTTTAAATACGTAAAGAACGTAAGCGCTTCCGTGGAACTACATATATACGCGGTCCTCATAAAAAATGGCAGACCGAGCCGTACCTGCGAAGCGCCCTTGAGGCACGCGGTCCTGAGTGCGTCGTCGCCTGCGCGCGACGCCAGGTGAGGGTCCGCGCCGTGCTCCAGCAGCAGACGCGTGGTCTCCATGCGATGCTCCTGGATGGCGTAGTGCAGCACGGTCTTCATCTGAGTGTCGTGCGCGTTGACCTGCGCCCCGTGGTCCAGCAGGAAGGCGCAGAGACGCACGCTCTGCACGGAGTTGATGAGACACGTGCCGCCGTTGTGATTGGGGCGGTGGATGTCGGCGCCGCGCGCCACGAGGAAGCGCACCACGTCCAGGTGCGTCATGAAGCAGGCGGAGCGCACGGGCGTGGAGCCGCTGTCGCTGCCCGCGTTGACGTCGGCGCCCGCGTCGGCCAACACGCGCAGCACCTCGAGGCGGCCCGTGACGGCGGCGCACCACAGCGGCGTGACGGTGTGCACGGAGCGGTCGTCCGGCACCTCGTACACGCCGCGCTGCTCGATGTCAGCCGCGCACACGTGGATGAGGTACTCCACGATCTCCACGTTGCCGCGCTTGCACGCCACGAACAGCGGCGCGCAGCCGTCCTGCTTGCGGTCGCACAGCGCGCGACGCGCTCGAGGACTCATCCTAGAAAATTCGATTCAAGCGTTAAACAAATGAAACTCTTTGTCAGAATGATGATTGATCTGATTGAAATAATAATACTTTCACGCCATGCCGTGACAGAGGCTTGGATTACATTATTATGTTCATAACAAGTTTTTTTTATAGCGTAAAGGGGGAAACGGGTCACCTCCTGATGGTAAGTGACTACTGTCGCCCATGGACACCCCCACAACTCAAGAGTCATAAGTGCGTGACCGCCCTTGGAGCTCCTCCCGCTACAATCGGAACGCAACAAAAAAATTGCTTGGTACCGGTTTTTCGTGAGGCCGTGGATCACTACGGTCGAGCCGGCCCGGTGGAGCCATGACTTGGCCCCTCAGCATGGCTCTCCCGCGATGCAGTACTGAAACGCCCTTGGAATATTTTATAAAACTGACCCTCGCCCTTGGAATATTTAAAAAACTGACCCTGACTCTAAGTGGAAGCACTCAAATTGCTACGCTCTTGAGTTGTAAGTGTCCGTGGGCGACGACAGTTACTTACCATCGGGTCAATCGTCGGCTAGTTTTCCCCTCTGTACCATTAAAAGATACAATTGAAATTAGTAATTTTTTACGCTTTTTGCACCCCAACAAGAACTGTCGCCTGTTAGGCAATCGGCTTTTGAACAAACGGATATCGCAGAGTAGGCATCACTAAGTATAACAGTTGACGATATATCTCAGAATCAAACATCAAGTTTAAGGAATGTTAGAGCGCAAACAGCTATAAATTTTAACAAACAAACAAGTGGACATATACTGGTCATGAAATTGACACTAATGATTCATTAATGGACTGGTCATTGAATTGACACTAATGATTTATTAATGGATTGGTAGTTGCACAGATACTAATGATTCATTAATGAAAGCAATCATTAGTATCAATTTAATGACCAGTGACATTAAATTGACACTAATTAGGTATTAATTAATGACGACACTTTAGGTCATAAAAAAATATACTTATAATTTATGTATATCACTGAATTAACAAGTAAATGAGTTGGCAGAAAAGTCACAACGCTAGTACCCCACATTATTTTGATATTTAATATATTTAGACTTGGGACCTCTATGTATTTATGTGGTACTGCATATATTGGTTTATTTATGTATATTATATCCAAGTAGAGTTACATTAAATTAATAAATTTAATATAAATCAATCAAATTTCTTCTTCTTTCTACAAATTGTACATTAAGTTATTATAAAAAAAGTTTTGATTGCAGAAATGTTCTCAAACTTTGTCTATAAATCAGTCCTTCCAAAGACAGTCTAAGTCATGTTCTGCATCACTGTGCTAAAATCTGATCTATATCTATTACAGACTTAAATCTGAATAATGAATAGTCTCTGGCAATGTAAAGTATGTAATTGCCATAGTGGCCACACATGTGTGCCACACAAGCCTCTTCGAGCGACTCGCACCATTACCCATTGCCCAGCCAGAACATCATCATTTTGATTGCAACAAATCAGAAAACGCAATTTCACTGTATCATATTCAAATATTGTAAAACTGTGTTATCAGGACAACAGTAATCATAAAAATTTGATGAAACTAACAAGTGGGAAATTACCTCTCCAGTGCAGTGCGTAGGCGGGCCGAAAGACGAGCTCCGGGTGCACTGTGTTTACATTCCTGCATCAATTCCTGGAACACTGCGTCGTGAAGTTTTGCAGGGTCAGCTATGCTCCGAGAGCCGCCCCGCTTTGTGCTGCTACCCTCACTCTCCTCCCACATTTCACAAGCAACACTTATCACCCACAAAACACTTGCTTTTAAAGCACGAGAGCAAGTCTCTTCTAATAAGTTTCACTAACAAAGGAACTGTAATACCTACCAAACAACCGTGCGCGACTGACGTTACTTTTGTTTTGTTTTCTTTTTTTATGGACTGTGGTATATTAGTGTTGCCAGACTTCCGGGCTAAACTATAACTAATTTACTAATGTTTCCATCAGCAGGCAGCACAGTATTGAATTGAGAAATGCTGCCAGGTTTTAAAAAAAATGTGGAGAGATATTTTAATATTAATATAATATGTAATATCTTTACAAAAAAACACTTAATTTTAATTTGTTTTCTTTTTGTGATAAAAGACAACTCCCGCACTAAGAACATAATCCTGTGTCATGGGGGACTTTACAAACATACATGAAATGAACACAAAGAAAACCCAGATTCAGAACAACAATTTGTGATAAATAAATGATAAAATAGATTTATTTCTGTAAGTAAATCTTTTCAGATATTTTTACAAGTCGGACTTTACAGCTACATGGAGCCGGCATTTCCGGAAGAAACAGCGAAACAAACCACAGAGGTGTCTTTTTTAGTCCGTAAACAAAGTTAAAAAAACTGTGCGAGAAAAAAAACTGTACAATAAGTATTTTAAGTGGTGCAACATTGTTTGGAACTATCTAGATGGTTCTAGTGGGGCTGTTGGTTTCTTCTAGTTTTGCGCTGTGTGCGGTGTGACGCTTTTCTATGTAACAATTATAATCATTCCAATATTTAATAAAACAGTAGTGCCCTGTGGCGTACCTATATTATTTCACAACTCATAATATTTTCACATAGTTTTTGTTTTACTAAAGACTTTAATTTGTTAATGTTAGTTCATGATTTTTTCTTGGAGAATCGCACACCCTGACATTGAAAGGAAAAGACAAAAGACTTGCTTACCTTTTTTAGTCTAGTGGTAGGTAACACGATTATATGTAATTCTTAATGACAGCAGCATTTCCCTCAACAAAACACCATATGACATTACACCATGAAAATAGCTAAAATACACCAACCTTCTGTTTCTACATTGGTAAATTGACGAATTTTATAAGCCACGTATGCTGCAGTGGATCATACAAAGTGATGTCACATGTGGGGATGGAACTCATAACATTAAGCGCATTAGGAAGCGGTATGTCACTTAATTTCCTTCGCCGGCTTCAGATACTTTTCAAGATTAAAATACAAACAAAATATTGATAATTTCTGAACTGGAATTTGGTGTAAAATATTTTTTGATTCGGCAATACTGAACACTGACATCGATCGACAATCGATCGATTGATTGGTCTGGTATCACCTAAGTATTTATGTCAGTCAAAAGGAAATAATCAAGCAAGAGAATGTTTATTTGTTTACAGATTTGATGCACTATGAAGTCGAATAAAGCTTATTAAAATAGTTTGCCAAAGTATGTTAAAACCATACAACCACGTACAAGTTATAGGTAGTTAACGACCGAAAGTCGTAACTATTCATATTATTCATCCACCAAAACTCAGCTGCACAACAATGAGCGAAGACGAGGATTGTGATGGCTTGCCCAGTATATTCGTTAACTCTTCTGGATACGATGCGGTACGTAGACTACACTGCCATAATCAAAACGACACATGAATCGAGACAATGTTAGTGTTACTCTGAATGCGCCGGTATCTCATGAATCGATCGGAAGAATAAGGTATGAAGGTTTAACATATCAGTAGTATTTCTTAATCAGTTAGCACTAATATTAAAATCCTGTTTTTTGTCCCTATCAAATCTATATAATCCTAATTTTGCCAATGGCAAGTACACGAAAATGTAGGAAGTTATGGCTAAAAATCTAGTCAATGTACAATGCCACATCAGATCCTGCTCCATGAGTAAATGGCATAGAACATAGGCAAGAATGTTTTCTTCTGACAATAACTTCAATTAGGTTACAGGGGTGAGCAAGCCTTGTGAAAATGATCTCTGTAACATAGGTCACTTTTTTTTAGAACTGTTACTCCTGTGCTAATGGCAAATTAAAAATGTTTTTTGAAAATTATATCAAAATATAATTATCTCATTTATATCCCATTGATATTATAGTAACACTTTGTTATCTTAATAGAGTAGCAATATCACAACATTCTAGAGTAGGAGCAAACCAAATTCACTTTAATCCCCAATAGCACTTGTCAGTTACATTCATAGGTGTTAGACACATCAGCTTGCAGTTTCATTTTTTCCAATTCTATTAGAGGAACTCCTGAAAAATGTTGACATATCTGAGTATGTGTGTTGATCGCTGCACTTCTGCCAGGCCAATCCAATACACTGTAATTTTTGAAAAAGACTTTTGACTTTGAAAGCTATGTTACAGTTTATTACCATGTTAAAACCCTCATTGGAATACAATACAGTATTTTTTAGATTATTGTCTCTTCTAAAATACACTTTAGAATAACAAAAGTGTTGATCAGGGCTACGTAAGAAGCAAGCCCGAGAGGTGAGGTTGAGGTATGGAAGTTGGAATGTAGGGAGTATGACTGGAAGAGCGAGAGAGCTAGCAGATGTGTTGAAAAGAAGAAGAATAAACGTGGCATGCTTGCAAGAAACAAAATGGAAGGGTACAAAAGCAAGAGAGATAGGAGAGGGGTACAAGTTTTATTACTGCGGAAGTGATGGGAAGAGAAATGGAGTGGGTGTAGTATTGGATAGTGCCCTGAAAGAGTGTGTGACGGATGTAGAGAGCGAATGATAGAATAATAGTACTAAAATTAGTATGGGAGAGCATAATTATGAATATTGTTAGCGTGTATGCACCTCGAGCTGGATGCAAGGATGAAGTGAAAGAAAAATTTTGGGCCGATTTTGACATGGTTTTGACAGGTATCCCTGAAAGTGAAGAACTTTTGTTAGGTGGAGATTTTAATGGTCATGTGGGAACAACGAATAAGGATTATGAAAGAGTACATGGAGGAAGGGGGTTCGGAAGTAGAAACATTGATGGTGAGTCTCTGCTCCAGTTTTCCTCTTCGTTTGACCTGGCAATAGTTAACACATGGTTCCAAAAACGTCACGAACATCTGATCACGTATAAAAGTGGTAGCCACGCGACACAGATTGACTATTTTCTCATAAAAAGAAGTAAGTTGGTTTGTGTCCGAGACTGCAAAGTGGTGCCCGGGGAACCCATAGTATCGCAACATAGATTGCTGGTAATGGAGGTCAAATGGAAGAGTTTGAGTAAGAGTAGGAAGAACCGACCTTCTCCAAGAATCAGGTGGCGAATGTTAGAGAAAGAAGAGTATGCAAGTAACTTTAAGGTAAAGGTGGTAGAAAAAATGATTGAAATGAATGCAAGGCTAGATAAGTCTGTGGATGGATGGTGGAGTGAAATGGCAAATTATATACGAAAGATAGCGAGAGAAGTACTTGGGGAAACAAAAGGAAAAGGCATTATTGAAAGAGATACATGGTGGTGGAGTGATGAGGTACAGAAAGCTCTAAAAGAAAAGAAGGATGCCTTTAAAGCGTGGAAAAATGAAAAGGTCTGTGAGAGAATGAAGGAAGTCAAAATGAATGAATATAAAGAGTGGAAGACAAAAGGCAAAAAAAGCGGTAGCGGTAGCCAGAGCTGAAGCTCAATATAACATATTTAAACACCTACATGAACCTAGAGGTCAAAAAGAACTCTACCGCATTACAAAGAACAGGGAAGAAAGATCAAAAGACCTGAAGCATGTGAGATGTATAAAAGATGAAGAGGGGAGAGTGTTGATTAAAGATGAAGATATAAAAAAGCAATGGAAAACTTACTTTGAAAAACTTATGAATGAAGAGAATAAATGGAGCGGAGTGCTAAAGCATGTGGATGTGAATGTCGGAGTGGTGAACGAGATTAGTATAGATGAAGTTAGATTGGCAGTACGAAGTATGAAAAATGGAAAACAGTTGGACGGTATACCAGTGGAAGTTTGGAAGCTACTGAAAGAAGACGGATATGAGTGGCTGACTCTATTCTTCAATATATTGTTGCTTGAAGAGGTAATCCCAAAGGAATGGTGTCAAACCCAACTCGTACCCATTTTCAAAAATAAAGGAGATGTTCAGGAATGCAACAACTTTCGAGGAATAAAGCTCATGTCACATACTATGAAAGTCTAGGAGAAAGTGATTGAGAGAAGAATAAGAGATGAGAGTCAGAGATGAGAGTCAGAGAACCCAAAGTCAATTTGGGTTTATGCCAGGACGCGGGACAACAGAAGCTATATTTGCAATGCGCCAACTATGTGAGAAATACAGGAGTGCGCACAAAAACTTGCATATAGTGTTTGTGGATCTCGAAAAGGCATAGGGTAGGGTACCCCGAAAGGTTTTTTGGGGTGGGCTTTGAAAGAAGAAAGAGTGCCTGTAAAGTATGTAGAATTGATTCGTGCTATGTACAGAGAGTCTAGCACTCATGTAAGGTCGGTCACGGGAAACACTGATCAATTCAGTGTCTCTGTGCACCAGGGATCAGATCTGAGCCCATACCTCTTCCTGTTGATAATGGATGCTCTGACATCGGACATACAGGAGGAGGCACCTTGGTGCATGCTATTTGCAGATGACATTGTGTTGGTCGGTGAAGATGGGGTTGTGGTCCAGAGCAGACTGGAAAAATGGCAGCAAAGGCTGGAGAATGTTGGCTTGAAAATCAGCAGAACCAAAACTGAGTACATGTTCTGCGATTTGGGCGGCCTCAGTCCTGAAACCATTTCGCTGGATGGGATAGCGATAACAGTCTGCTCCAATTTCAAGGACCTCGGCTCCCTCTTACAATGTGATGGTGAGATTGATCGAACTGTACAGCATCGAATCAATACGGGATGGATGAAGTGGCGGCAGGTAACGGGAACAACTTGTGACCCCAGTTTCCCCTTAACACAGAAGGGACAAATTTATAAAACTATTATCAGACCTGCCGTCCTGTATGGCTCTGAAAGTTGGCCCATTAAGAGAACGGATGAGAGACGCCTGAACGTAGCCGAAATGCGAATGCTGCAATGGATGTGTGGTGTGACTCAGATGGACAAGGTTAGGAATGAGTATACGAGGGAGTCTGAAAGTAGCGCCACTGGATGAAAAGTTATCTTGGTATGAACATGTCATGCGGAGGGATGAGGAAAATGTGGCGAAGAAAGTTTTAGGTATGAGAGTTGAAGGGTACAAGAGAAGAGGCAGACCGAAGAACAGGTGGATGGACTGCGTCTGGAAGGATATGGCTAGGAAGGGAAAAAACAGTGAGATGACGCATGACAGAGTAGAATGGAAAAATCATACATACTGCGCCGACCCCAAATAAGATTGGGAAAAGGGTAGGCAGATGATGATGATCAGGGCTACTAAACAGATATAAAGAAACTGGTTGAGGGTTGTCAAGGCAAAACACTAAGTCGAGTTACAGTCTTATGGATTGGCACAATAGACTTGATGAAGAGTTGGGACTTGTTAGGCTATCTTATTTATTGATGAAGAATACTGAACATTGACAACCTATCTTCATTATATATAATTCTTCTGTGCGTGTGTGTGACTGAACTCCTAAACGGCCGAACCAATTTCAATAACTTTTTTGTGTCTCAAGTAGATTTGAGAATGTAAACCATTCCCGATTCACAATTTGGTCCACTACAAAATGTTATTCTTTCGATTTGTGCAGGTCAGCTAGTTAAAGGCTAGCTAGATAAAGGGGGTTAAACTCCCCAATATTGTCTGGGGTGGTGAATTGTCTCTTAATAAACTGAATAAAACTGCTATTCCACTTTCCACCCAAAAATCATTCTATGCTTTAACATCAATATCTCTAAATTCAAAATTACTTCCAGTCATAAATTCTTTTCCCACAAATAGGAGAACGAACTAGGAGAATCCATTGCCTTGTTTGAAGCGGCACCTTATGTAGGATCTCATAAACTCTGAAAACCCACACAACGCTCACAATAAGTTCTGAAATTAACATTTTTTTTTTAAATTCTGTCTGTTTTCTATACTACTGCATATTTTTAATCTATATCAGTCAATAGATGTAATGAGATTGAACTGAGATTATATTGAGACGATATTGAGACAGGATTTTATTTTTTGTTAGTAGAATACCTATTTTTAATCAATTCATAATTCAGTCTCGATACAATCACATTGCAGTCTCTGATGTTTTAAAATACGAGAACTGAAATAATATCGAAAGAAATATAATAATAATCGTTAATGGTTCTTGCCAAAATATCTAGTATTTTTTTTATCATACTTTTTTTAGGGTGCTTTTAGTATCCCCAGTGCAGATGAGCTGGCATCGCAACGGGAACGTGAGGTCGAGAACGAGCGGAAACTGAAGGAGTTACGTGAGCGTCTCGCTAACGATGATGACGTCACATTAGCGCGTCACGACTCCAGCAGCTCCGAGAGCGATGCGGCGCTGGCCGCCGCCGTGACCGTGATGAGCGTCGACTGCGCCCTCGCCGCCGTCGCCGCGGGTCCGCCGCGCCACGCGCCCCGCGCCGCCGACCTGCTCGCGGCGCTGGCGCGGGGCCTGCCCGCCGCCGCCCGCCCGCTGCTCGAGGACTCTAACGTCGCGCTGCGGTTACCCGAGGTGAACTCGCACTGTGTGCAACAGCATTACACTTGCAAACGGTATAAGTCTGTGTAAAACGATACAGACTGAAGTAAAGCAGCGTTCAATTTATTATTCATATTTAAGAAGACATTATTGAGTAATTACTTTAATGCCACTCGGTTGAGTGGTCAAGGTAAAAACGTAACAAACAAATAATCGAACTCAATTTTTCACATATCATATCGGCTCGGATGTAATCAAAGGTTGAAAAAAGATGGACTTCCTGTCTGTTTTTCTCCATAGGATCTACGTATCGGAACGGGTAACTAGCTTATCCATATAGGTCTATCGATTCTTATCCTGACAAGCATTGCTTGTGATTTGGTTAGTTGAAATCGAAATTATTATTTAATTTGCTGTAGCACAGTGGTTAAATAAAAGCCGATCGGCAGATTTGCAGAAGTAACCGTAAACCGTAATCCCAAAAATCATCTTATGGACCGTGGTCAAATATGAAACGTACGAATCGGGCTGAAACAAAATACACATACGCCGTGTAGAACGACCCATTCTATTCATAGTGAGGTTTCTATCCGAGGTCTATATCTGATTAGGAATAGCGGCGGTGCCTTATCTGATTCAATATTATTAGTGAATCGTTTCTCGTTCCGTTTGAGTTTCGACGTGCGCTCGCCTTTTTTTTTCACAACGGTGTACAGCCACACCGAGGTGGGTGCGACGATCTCGCAACGGATTCCGTTTTCTATCGATCCGCTCTCATCGCAGGTGGTGGCGAGCGCGAGCGCGCTGGTGGCGGCGGACGACGAGCCCTGGACCGACGACGAGGTGTGGGCGCTGGGCGCGCTGCTGGCCGGCGCCGCGCTGGCGCACGACCCGGCGCCGCGTCGAGAGGCTCTGCGCGCGCTGCACACGCTGCTGGAGCGCCGCGCCACCGCCGCTCAGGTGCGAGCGTCTGCGCTCTAGGGAACGCCCGGCTCGGCGGCGACTCATGCCGTTCCTCTTGCAGGCTCACGCTCTCGGCCGTATGATGTTGGACGCGCTGCCGGCGGCGCGCACGAGGCTGGAACTGAGCGACGCGCTGCGGGCGGGGGGCGGCCCCACCTGCGAGGCGCTGGCCACCCTCGCGCTGGACGTGGCGCTCGTGGACTCGCTGGACCCGCCGGCCCGCGGCCGGGAGAGCCTGTCGCGGCTGGCGGAGGCGATGGGCGCGGGCTGGGCGCGGCTGGCGCCGGAGCTGCGCTACACGACGCTGCAGCTGCTGGGCCGGCGCCTGGCGGTGGCGAGCGAGGACGAGAGGGAGGCGCGCTCGCGCCTGCTGGCGCCGCTCGCGCCCTCGCAGATCGGACACGACACGCAGGCGCCCGAGAAGCTCAAGGTACGGTAATCATGTCACGCGTCTTCCACGCGACAGTCTGATCCCTAACTAGGCAGTCTGTACTGTAGTAACTGGACTGCTGATAAATACACTGAAATATTTCTAAATACATACATTTTATAGATAAAACTACCTGACCCGGCAAACGTTGTTTTACCAAATACATAATTTTAAAAAAAACGTCAAAAAAATAATAATTGGGGTATGAAAAATAGATGTTGACCGATTCTCAGACCTACCCGATATGCATACAAAATTTCACGAAAATCGGTGGAGCCGTTTCGGAGGAGTTCAACCACGCACACCGTGACACGAGAATTTTATATATTAGATACACCCAGACACAACATATGATTTTACTTATGACTCGAGTATTTGTCCTGTGTAGGAGTTCTTCTTCTTCTTCGATTCTTACCCAACTTTCTTCCTTTATACTTGTCAAGAGAAATGTCGACTCGTTTCTTTTTTGCTCATCAGTAAATCAATACTCAACGTGTAGAGAACTATTTTTTTTTATTTAAGTTATACCATATATATACCTCTCTCATATGCAATTCGTTCTTATGGCCAAAGGAAATCCCTGTAACATACAACATCTTAATACCTTTCAAGAAAAGAGCTCCTTCCTAGTAGGTGGGCAACGCGTTGGTAACTCCTGACTTGCAGGCGTTCTTGGGCGGCGGCAGTCACTTCCGATCACGTGACCCGTCTGCTCGTCTGCCCTGTTACATAATAAAAAAATAAATAGCTTGTAACTTAAAGAATGGTGAATCTTAAAGAAGGAAAGAAAAAAATATTCTACAAATCCTACTGGATGTTCCAGTTGTAAATAAAACATTTCTAACATTGAAAAGGACGATAAAGAAATAAAAAATGGGGCGAAAATTACATTTTTGGTTTACCATAATACATACATACCGTAGACAAGTGTAAAAAATATATATTTGGCTTTTAAATATTTCAGGTATTAGTGTGTGCCTCCAAGCTGCGCCTGTTATTCGGTACCGAGAAGTGATCAAAGGAATGTCTGAATGCGTCAACGTCACCATTTCATGTTACTTAATGTTCGCGAATGATTTTTTTAAGAAAAATACATTTTAAAATATCCATGTGTTTGTTATTACTATAGTTTTTACTCAAACCCTGATAAGATAGTTGAAGCATTCAAGTACCTTGGCCACATCATTACAGGCTGGAGCCTTAAGGATGATGCCGATAGCGAAGGTCTCTGTTGCGTAGGGAATATGATAGAAAAGTTTCTCTATTTAGGTATTTTTTCAAACCTTCTAATTTTAACAAAAAGTCGCATAATAAAATACCCGTGGTTACAATAATATCTTTGGGCAATTTTTGGGCTTGAAGCGCTTCTATAAGGCTTCTGAGATATTAACGTTGGCACGCGTTAGCTCTTTAAAACGCGTTTAAAATTTGGGAGAGAATAAATCATGTTTGCCAGCTCTCATGGGATCATCTATACCTGGACCAGTCCATACTGTTAGTCCTAAATGTCCCAAATACAAGTGCAGTGTCTCAAGACGAAAGTTTTTGACCTGTGATGTCTTATGGCACGGAGTCGTGGTCCCTCATAATGGGCCTCCTAAGAAGGCTCAAAGTCACCCAAAGAGCAATGGAGAGCCTGGAGAATAATTTAACAATTATGGATATTCTACACAAAGAAACAGAAACATACTACAGCGCTATCTATCGAAGACAACCCGAACTGCGGAGTAACTGCTTATTCTGTATCGCGATATGAAAAGTTCTCACGCCAATTAGCATTCGAATATATGCAAGTTTTCAACATCAACCGTTGGGGGCGCGGTCCGCCAGGCATGATCACCTCACCTGTTCGGAAGATCCTCCCTTTGTGTTGGAGGGACATGACACCCATTTCTCCACAATGATAATAATATAACAAAAATGCTACTGCACTGTAAGTGGCTCTTTTGGAGGAATACGGTTATTTATCATATGGGAACTGTTTATTGATTGGGTATTTATCTATTGAAAAACTACTTATTGGCATTTTACTTGAAATTATTTTTATTTTATGTATATGATGACATTTATTTTTTGTATTGTCTTAAGATGGCCTCTCTTCGTGTCCTCTATTTTTGACCGACAGGGTCCATAATCGTCACCACACTTAGCACGAAAGACTCGTACAACATACATGTGGAGTCGTCGTCGAGGCGAACCTCGAGCGGGGCCTACGTCCAGCGGTCGTCGACGTCTTTCGGCTGAGACGATGACGATATGTAGAGGCGAGTCTTACCGCTCGGTGCCATCCGCGTAGAGGTCGGTCCGGATCAGGTGTGAGCTCGCGGCGAGTCGAGGTCCAGGCGCATCAGCAGCATGGGTAGCGTGAGCGCCTCGCCCGCCAGCCGCCGGTGGTAGGCCGTGCGCACCTGCCAGCCGCTCGCGTGCAGCAGCGCAGTGGCACGCGACTGCAGCGCGCTCGTGGCCAGCTCCAGCGAGCGCAGCCCCGCGCCAGCCGCACCGCCGCGCGCCGCGTCCAGCAGCGCCCCCCCCACGCCGCGCCGCCGCCACCTGCGCACCGCCGCTGTACTAGCGTGTGTCTGCCGTGCGACCGAGCCGCCGACTCACACAGAGCACTCACCGCACGTCGACGGCGAGCCCGTGGAGCCAACCGCAGCGGTGCGCGCCGTTGTGCTCGGACACGCTGACCGTGCCCACGAGGCGCCCGAACCCCGCGCCGACCTCGCCGCCGCGCCCCTCTCGCGCGTGCAGGACGCGCGCGGCCGTCGCGTGGCGCTCGGCCCCCAGCGGCCCGTGTAACTCCGCCACGAATCCCGCCAGCTCGCTCCGCAGCCGCTGCCGATCGTGTTTCCGGTATGAGGAGCGTATTTCTAGCACAGATGTGTGAGTGCCTTACCTAGTCGTTCTTTTATAATTATATTATTTTTGATGACCGTAACGCTTCACCGCACGCTCTTTATGAGGCATAAGCCGGAGGTAAAGTGGAAACTCACGGCCGCCGCAGCCTTTGCCGCGATGCGGTGTGTCGCGCACACGATCAGCGCCACGACGGCGACCAGGGCGAGCGGAACGAGCGCACAGGCCGCCGGAGACAGGCCACCGAAGATAAACAGAACCGCCGCCGCCAGCACCGACACCTGGAGCATCAACTGTCCGACGCATTAGGTACCGCTACGTTAATTACGGGCATATTCGCAAACATTTCGCAAAGCATCGACTTCTTAAAATGACTAGTCGGCAAAATAAAAAAGTGAATAACAATCATTTACACTTTAGAATCGTCAAATCGGTTGGTTGTCAAGACCTGTAATTTCACATCTAAAATTCCCTCACAATGAACCTGACTTCATCTATTAGTATCTTTGATATTGGTGACATAGAAAGTTAAGATCTCAACTGCTAATGTTTAAAACCATAAACAAAAATAACTGCAAATGTACATTAAACATTGCACCACAACTAAACCAAAAAAAAACTCTGAGATATTGTTTTTAGCAGTTTTAAGCAGACTAGACTACTAGACACGGTTTTGCATTAAAAACTGTAATGCTCTCAAGTGATACATGCTACAAATAATTTTAATAATGTTACATTTTGAAACATTATACAAATAAATAAAATTGGAGTGGCAGATAGCTAATGACACAAGGAGTAACTTAGGCTACTATTTTTAGACTATCTTCGCCCCGTGGCGATGCCCGCGGTTATAACAACAAATGCGGGTAACACCGCGGGTCTCAGCTAGTTAAGTAATAAAATACAGACTTATTAATATTAGCTATTATTTATTTACATTATCATCTAAGCAATGTTGATAACAAAGTAAATGTTTATGAATCTTAGCTACTTCCAAAACTTTTTACAATGCTTTTAAGATGTTTATATAACTTACATACAAAGATGTGTTCCTCATATCAGGCTGTCTGTCTGGTGTCTAGATCTTTTACATAAACTAGTCTTAAGCTGTGCTATATTTGTATTTTCTAATACATGTACATAGATAGGTATATTGCTGTAAAATCTGTACAGGTAAATCTTAAGATTAGCCAATAACACCAAAGATTTATCAACCTTTATTGGTCAATAACTGCAATGTTCTGTGATCATCATTAATTTTAAAACTTTTATACCAATAGTAAATGTTGAGAGCTTTGGCTAAACTTATGTGGTAACTGCAGTCCATGAACTATCTTTGAATTGGATCTTGTGTTTTAATAGTTATTACAGACAAGGATGTTTTATCGACAATATTTTGAATTTTATACTAAATAGGGTAAGTATTTACCTCTTGTAGAATAAAAAAACAAAAGGCATCTCGATCATACGAACTGATGCCACGCTCGATGAGTTGGGCGCGAGCTGCTGTATCCTCCGGTTTCGCTTCACGAATCACTATTTCGCACTCCATTATTCTATTCACTGATTACGGCCCTGTCGTGTCTCTTATTATTCACTTCACAATACTAATTATAGAAGATAACGTTATCACAAATGTTTCTTTATTTATTATAATCCGGTGCAGAACTTTAACTGCTTTATTTGCTTCCTCGTCGTCATTTTGCGTACGATTTCTTATATGAGTTTCGTACAATAGATAGCAAACACACGTTTATTGTGATATGTATATTATTATGTATTTCATGAAATAATATCAAGCTTCGCTTCTGACCTTCTAAAGTCCAGCCGCTCAAAGAATGCGTTTCTGACAGATCGTGATCGACTGAGCGATATAACTTTGAACTGGCGTACAATTTATGGCAAAATTTTAAATATCTTTTATTTACCTTATTAACGAGTGATAACATTACAATTCGAATAATTATGGCAACTTACAATAAATGTATTAATTTTGAGCTAAAATTATTACAATTACTTAATTAACAAATATAAAAACAATAGCTTTTAAAAGTCTAACAGCGCTGTTTCAAGGTTATGTCAACTGTTTGTTTTTGTAGTGATGTGACAAAATAACGAGGTAATCGAATATTTTTGTAGTCTTAATATAATCTGTCGGTATAATATAAAATAAAACGTTATAATTTTATAATATATAATGTACTTAGTATTTAACAAAGTTAATAATATAATAAAGGTACGCCCAAACAAAACTTAAGAAAATTAGTGTCATACTATGAGTCAGATTAATTAAAAAAACATTGATAATAAAATTACTCACTACTTTATATTTCTGGTAAAAATGGCTACCCAAAATAGCGTTGTGGGGACCGCCATTTTGTCGTCTCGCACGCATAGACTATGTTCTCCAGTGTTTCTCGTTGTGTATTTTCTCGTGACTGTTATTGTTGTTATTTTGACTGTTCTTCTTGATATACTGACCTCTGCGCTAATCTGAACTTTTAGTGTATAATAACAATGCCAAAACGCGGTCAAACATTGAAAAGTGAAACTCGTGAAGTAATTATCAAGCTACAATATTACTTTGAGCGTGAAAGACAAAAAGGCGGCACTTTAATTCCTGTCGACCAGAAGTGAGCAAATGGACGATAGCAAATATTAATAAAGAAATGTTCGGCTCATCTGGCATGAAAGAAAATATTTAACGAACACCAAAAAAGAAACGCAGAACTAAACCTATAACAGACATTAATAGCTTTGACGCCGATGCAATAAGGAATCATATATATGGGTATTATTCCAGGAATGAGTACCTTAATAGGTCGATGCTTCTAGCATCTTTGAAAGCAGCTGATTTATTTAGGGGAGGCAAAACTGCTTTATCTAAAATTTTGAAATATATTGGATTTCAATATAAAAAAACGGACAAAAGGAAAATTCTTTTAGAAAGAAATGACATAATTTTAAAAAGAATTACTTTTTTAAGAGAAGCGACAAAAATCGATAATTGGGACAATGTCATTTTCATCGACGAGACATGGCTGAACGCCAATCACACGATTTCTCGTTCTTGGACAGGAAAACGGTTTATTGGCATTTGAGTCAAAAACCACTACTGACTACCACGAAGAAATGAATGCGGTTTCATTTAATTAGTGGTTCCAGGATGTGTTGCTACCTGGCCAGCCAGAGCCTTCAGTTATATTAATGGATAACGCCCCTTATCATTCGGTGCAAAAAAATAAAGCACCTACCCAAGCTAATAGAAAAGAGGATTTGGTTTTGCTGCAAAAAAGTGGCATTGACGCAAATATGTCAATGCTAAAAGCAGAGCTGATGAAATTAGTCAATGACCATAATCCGACAAATGTTCGATATGAAATAGATGAGTTGGCTTTGGAGTACGGTCATCGCGTTCTCCGAATTCCCCCGTACCGCCAGTACAACGCCATTGAGCTAATTTGGGCTCAAATTAAAGGTTATGCAGCCCGTCATAATACTTCTCCACCGTATGGCATAAAAAAGATGAAGATGCTTTTAAAAGATGCATGCGCAAAAGTCACAAGAGATGACTGGATGAAGATGGTTGAAAAAACTAAAAAGATTATATTTGATGACTTTGACCGCGATATCCGTATAGATACTATGATTGACAATAATATGATTATACACGTTAGTGAAGATGACAGCGACTCCTCAAGCGAATTGGAAGATTAAATTGTTTGATATAGTCTTCATTGTTTAAGGCTTAAAACTATGTATTTCATAATATTCCAATAAATTTTCCAATAAATAAAGCATTTTTATTGACGTGACAACGTCTTATAATTCGATGGAGCCGGCTGCACGCACGGAAAAACATGACGCATCCGGCGTTACCTCGCTCTGAGGCGTTCCATTTAAGGCTTGAAGTGCAAGCGAGAGCGCGGAACGAGCAACAAAGAGGCACAATCGGCCTCCGCGTTCGGTAGCGTTCGACATCTGTCTCTCTCCTACTTGAGTCAGCGATGCGTCCGCGTGGACAGCTGCTATACAATAATACATTTACATGTTTTCGTCAAGTATGAAGCGTAATTAAAATTTTCTTTTGAAAAATGCAACCATTCAGTATTTTCTTATGACGTTGTCACGTTCAACTATCGTCAGTAAACCGACTTTACAGACAACCGATTTTTTTTTATTCCCTTCGTTACATTCAGAAATTCCGATTCAATTCAATTAATTGATTCATTAAAAATTTATTTACATCGTGAATATTTATTGAATGTATTGAAATATAATTCCTATAAAAAATAAGAACATAAAAATTAAATTGAATAAATTTGCATAACGAGTGCAATAAGTAACGTTACTAGATATTATCAATGTTATTTATTGTACATCACTAGTCATGACGAATTGACAGGTGTCAGAAACGCATTCTTTAAGCGGCTGGACTATAACAGTGTTGCCAACAGTTAAATGAACTCTCCACCAGATTCAACATCTAAAACCACTAACGAAAAACGAACCTACTCTAAGGAGCACTTTTTTTTTAGTAATCACGACAGAAAATCATAAGGAAATTAATGACTAATTTCCTTAATATTATTAAAATTTAATACTGATACTAATCGTTTTTGTAAGCACTTTAGGGTTAAAGGTTTGGCCACTTTAGAGGTTATCTAATATAGTGAATACCCTAATTATACTTGGGACAATTAAATGAAAGGTATACACGTGTTCACGTAAACTGGTTTAATTCTCGACTGTTAACGGCGGGCGCAGCCGCCTCTAGGTAAGCATATTTTGCTTACGCTAACTGAAATGTACACTTACATTTTAATTATTACATATTACAGGAAAGTAAGTTGGTGAGATATACTAACTTTTAAACTTTCGCGTTCCATGATAATTAATATTATTTAACGGGAATTAACGCGATCTCTTATTTAGGGTATTACATACCTCTGGTTTGCCTGACGTTTCGACCAGGTTGCACCGGCCGAGGTCACGCCCTCCGTCGTCGAATCCGTGAAGTAGAAGGCTCTTCATCTACCCGCACATTTTCGATATTGTTTTTGTGTCGCCATGTACCGTCACATACCACACTAACAGTGTCCCTATTCTGTAAGCAAACCGATGAGTCCCTATTCTGGTGTTTAACCGATTGCGCAGAAAAGCGAGGTGCTATGTTTTTTAACACTGGATTCCACGCTGTAGATAATTTAAAACCATCTTCCCGATTGAAAGTTTTATGCTTTTTAATCTCAATCGCTTCACGTACAACTCTTAAGTAAAAGTGACGTTCGGTTGAGAGGACTTGCGTGCGGTGAAATTCAATCCAGTGGTTGATGCCTGCATCGAGTGCATGTTCTGCAATCGCTGATTTGCTCGTCTGTCGGTTCTTCACAGCAGCGATATGCTCTTTGACCCTTTCTGCAATAGTCCGCTTAGTTTGGCCTATGTATGAGCTGCCGCAGCTGCAGTCTATTTTATAAACACCCGGAGTTTGTAGTAGCAATATATCCTTCGGTGTGCCGACGATGTTGTGAACCTTTATGCCTGGTGTGTATACTGTCGGAATGGAATATTTCTTTAGCACAGACCCGATCTTGTCCGTAACTCCCTTGACATAAGGCATATAGGCCGGTTGCCTGTACACTTCTGGATACTTGCGTCTTATTTTCGGTTGCTTCCGTCCTCCTTTCACTTGATATCCGTTACCTTTGAGTAGGTGGTACGCTTCTGCAGCAGGACCAGCTTCCCGCATTTCCAGCGCTCAGGGAAGCGTCCGGACGCCAGGCTAGCGTCCAACATTTCCCAGAGGTGGTCCGACATGTAGTCGAGGGCTCGGGCTATCACTCGGGCTGGAACCCCTTCCGGCCCGGGGGCGGTGTTCTTGGATCGAATTCGTAGAACAGCCGCCCCCAACTCCGATTCCCTGACGGTCGGAACATCAACCTCGCTGCCCCCGTCGTCTCCGGCTGATGCAGCCATCGACGGGGGTGCGTGCTCCGCCCGCTGCGGGAATAGGCCCTCGACCACTTCCTGCAGGAAGCTGGGCTGGAGAGTCTCCGTAAGGGGGGGGGGGGGGCCGACGTGCGGAGCTTTTGACGCACCGCACGATAAGGGCGACCCCAGGGGTCACGCTCGAGACTCTCCAGCATCTCCTCTCTACTGACATCCTTGGCGCGGCAGATGGCCAGCCTCAGAGTTTTCCGAGCTTCTCGGTACTCCTCATGAAGCCGGTCCACCGTGGCGTCGGCCAAAGCGTTGGGCGACGCCGGAAGCATTCTCGTCGGCTTCGTGAATGCCAGAATCATGGTTCTGGCCGCGAGGCCGATGAGGTGCTTCAAGTGCCTAGCCGCGGGACACACTCACACCAAGTGCGAGAGCTGTTTTGACTGCCGCGGATTATGCTTCCGCTGCGGTCAACCCGGGCACAAGGCGGCAGAGTGCTCTGCCGGCCCCCACTGCCCGGTGTGTGGGGCGGCTAAAAAGCCCGCCATTTACATGATGGGGCAGAGGGGCTGCAAGTCTCCCCGCGCTTGGAGGCCTCGATGCGGCGAC